AGCCATTTTGCTCAGGCCCTAACGCACAATAAGGGCCTGAGCAAAATGGCTGTCTTGTACTCTCAAGACGTAAGACAGCTATTGTGCGTTACCTCAAGACAAAAGGCTTAAAACATAAAACATTGTCTTAAAGTTGTCTTAAAAATACAAGATGGCCATTCTGCTCAGGCTCTTATTTGCTCCTGAGACACTGATATACATGTATCTGAATTCTTTATTACAAATTTTAGTAACAGTGGCAAGCGCTCATTGAATAGTAACGTGAAAACAACCGGTTTTAATCGATACGTATACATAAAATTCGTCGACCGAGGCGAAAATTGTTCGTGACATATTTTACTTTAAGTATATAATTCACACTTTACGCAATTCTATCTTTAAACCTCCATCAAATCAAAGTCGGCGCTCTTAAAATATTATGGAAAACCAATAATAACTGCAAACGTAACAATTCATCAATCAATTCGGGAAACTTTCTACTCCTAACGGAATATAAATCGAATAAAGAAATAATAGCAGTGATATGTAAAGGAACCTTATTTCATATTTATTCAATATCTTAAAGTCGCGTCAATAGCTTATCTCTCTATATAGGAATCAAGTTTTAATGTAACAAACACTCATCGCACGTACCGCCTAATTCGTATTTCCAAAAAACGTGAATTGACAATTAATTTGAAATATAAACCTACGATCTCAGTTACGTAACGTACGATATTTCGGGACAGTGATTTTCTGTATACATCTTAATAATAATAATGTATATTGTACATGTAGTAATATTGTACATATATGAATATATATAATTATATATTACATACTGACATATGTAATAATATATTAGATATATTTATATACATATGTATAGTGTAATAGAAAATTATAAAAATGTATTATTGAATGATAATCACAGTTGTTACATCATCACCGATTATATCATGGATCAAGTTTTATCAGTTAATACAGTTTCGCCTTCTTCCGTACATGTACGGTCTCAGAATCGTTGATAAGGGCACTTTCCTTCCGATGCGTCACTTCTTTCAGGTCATATATAAAATCGTTGCTTAAAGGCTTTATTCGGTTGCGAATGGGACGTTGATGCTTCACCTTGCTCAATGCCGAACAACACGCTTCTTTGGCTTCGTCGACGGTTGCGGCATTCTTTACGTTATCGTTCGCGTCTACACGACCACCTGCATCATCGCTAGTTTCTACTACAGTCTTATCGGAATCCGTCTTCGAAGCCTTGATCGCGCCCATGCTCGGGCCAAATATCACCTTCATGACCATCTCTTTAAGCTTAGGACAATCGTCTAATTTTCTACAGTTTGCTATACAATCTAACAGATCTGGTTCTCTCGCCGTTTTATCACTATCGCCCGCATTGGTATCACAACATTCCGCATCTCGCTCGTTCTCCTCGCTCTGCGAAACAGCGTGTGTATCCAAGCCGTTGCAATCTACACGCGTCTGCTGCTGACACGACGCTGCTGTTACTTCCGTGACGATCGCAGCAGCGGGGTCATCCGAATTAACCTTTGGACTTGTTACGTCCTCATTACCTTCGTCCTGCGGAATCTCGAGTACCATTTCCGCTATAGCCGTGCGAACTTGCATATTGTGCACTTTATTGCAATGCGTAACGCAATCGCATTTTGCGAAGCACTTGAAATCACACAACTTGCAGCGATAACGGTTCCAATCAACGTGCACTGCCACATGCCGCCGAAGATTCGGTATGGACGTGAATTTTCGTTTGCACTGAAGGCACCGTTGCTTCCGAAAGTTGGCGATGGCAGCTATTTTACTCTCCATAGTCTGATTCCCATTGTTCGGCGATGTTGAACAAGAAGACTGCGACTTGGAATCATCCTCCTCTACTTCGGTCTGAACTCCCTCTGAAATTTTTTATTACACTTTATTGCAACATTCCATTTATTTAGATCCGCATGTCTGATTGCGTGTGCAACGAATTAAATTTATTCTAATTAAACGACTCACCTTTCGAATCGGTCGATCGCTTTCCGTTGTGACAATTCGACGCTTGCTCTCTTTTATTTCTCATCTTCGAAGCGGCAGAACTAACTTCGCTCGTATCCATGCACACGACGTCGGATGATTTGGAATTTTCGTCAGACTTGAAGTTATCTTGATTCTCAGCGAGAGGTCGGAATAAGCTGTCGTCAACATCTGGTGGCGTAATATCAGGTTTTTTACACGATGTTCCTAGTATATTCCACTGTTCTTCACCAAGACTAGAGATGTCTTGCACGAGGATAGACGTTTCGTGATAACTTTCGGGAGATGATCTATACTCAGAATTTTTGCTCGATGTTTCTTCGTCGGAATTTACAACTATATCGGCTACTTTGATATCTTCTGTTTTACACGGTGTATCATCGGTTATATTACATTGTTCGACAGTTGCTGTCTCGTCGCACTCGGCGACTGGCACTTGGCAACACGGCAAACGAGTAGGCGAAGCCTTCCTTTTTGATTTTCTTCCGCGTTTTCTACCGCAAGGCTTCGCATCAGGTTCCACATGGCTTATTGGTTCCTACAAAAAATTTAACATATATAACCATCAGTTTAATCCATTACGAGTCTCTGATTAAAAGGTAGATATTCTCTAAAGAAAATTACTGTGTGACATTTTGTCAACGAAATATTCTATTGCATTATTAAAATTCAGGATTTCGATAATATCCCAATTCACCTGAGTTGCGTCGCTATTATCCACATTTTTCACGGTAGACTCTTTAGCTGCACGAGCACTTCTCGTACCGCTCGTTGTCTTCCGGTGAAATGCTTTCTCTTGAATCTGCCATCTTAACTTACGTACCTGGTCATTGGTCTTTTTGTGAACTGTTCGGAAAATTGTAAAGATATTGTAGATTATTCGAAGAACTGATTTCGGAAACGCTATGCTGCTTGAAAGAAAATTTCGCGACAACGAATTACGCCGGACATAGTACATCTCCCTCGTACAACAATACCTTTACACAAGTGCCGGTAGACGCTCCACGTATTTGCAAATGCACTTGAGCAGCATGGACAGGGGTAGCACAGACGTTTGGACGAGTGCATCGTTTTCATGTGGAAGGTCAACGTCTTCCTCGTCGCGAACCCCAATTTACCTGCGTGTCAAAAGGAGAATTTATATCGTATCCGTCTGAATATCTCGCTACTGAAGAGTAAGGGCTATTCATATTTACATATAGAGCAAGACAATTCGTTATTATTCATCGGCAATCTGTATATCAACAATTCGTTCTCCTCATCGCTCATATTCCCTTGAATGGGACTGTCGCTTTTCTCCGACTGATGTTCAGGCACTTGTCCCTCTACAGCGATGGCTTTCTGATCCTCGATAACTTGCAACTCTGTTATCTACGAATAGAACGAATTTACGGCATAGCACGTCATTCGTTAGGAACATCTCAAGGAGAACTAAATGTGTGCAATAATTGTGGAAGTAACGTTAAATATACATTTGTAGCGACAACTAATGGAGAACAAACTTATAATGCCTACTTGTTCCTTCATTAAATCTATAGCCTCGACCGCCGCGTCCGACGAGTCAACAGTTTGATACACCGCGGAACAATTTGTATCTATGGCCTCCAGATAGACGCGTCGATCAGCCAGAACGTTAGGGGTCGCGTTTTCGCTCTCCTGTTGCCCTTCCGCGTGTACATCCCGCCTCTTCAGCATATCTATCACCGCAGTGAGATCCTTTCTGTTGGACTCCTTGGGCACTTGGCTCCTGAGTATTCTATCGTTCTTAACGCCTTCGTCGCACGGCTGCTCGTCCGTCTTGTACATGTGTATTATCGACTCCCTGGCGAACGGCTGGAAGAAGGAAGGCATCGTCGCGAGTAGCAACAAGTAGCCAGAATGCTGGGCACAGCGGACTCTACTGCACTTACCGCGTTGTTGACGCGCTTGTGGAGCGTGACGTCGCACTTCTCCCTGCAATACTCCCTCTTGTGGGACACCAGGTTGACGATGCTCCTGAACAAGCTGAGGCAGACGCGGCATTCGTATATAACGTTGCATTCGTGCGACAGCAAGGATTTAACCTCGTCGGTGCCGTCCTCGAGTAGGTCGCAGACCTGGCCCAGGTCGGACACGCTCGCGTCGACCGGCTTGCGCAGACTGGACAGGTCCGGGCGGCTCGCGCCGTTGAGGAACTTCCTCTTGCTCCTACCCTTGCCCGGCAAATTGAGCTTCATCTTTTTATGATACATCCCGCCGCGCTACGACCTGGGAGACCCGCGGGGCGCGAGGACTCGCGACGGGCTCTCGGAGGAACGCGGGAAGACTCGCAATGCGAACGCGGGACTCATCGAGAGACGCCACGTGAGCCGACTCGGTGCAGTCCTACAAAATAATGAATGTAAACATGAGTGTACGTCGTAACATTATTGCCCGAGAGGCCTGGTGGCGAATCCGCGGATCGCGAGAACGGCGGGGCCCTTGCCGGACCAGTCGCGGGGGACGCGCGCGGTTATCAACGGGGAAACCGGACGGGGGTCCGATCGGAAAGCCCCGCACGAGCGATACCAGGCTCGCGGTGGAGTGAGCCGGTGGTGCCGGTCTCTCCTTCGTTTTGCTCGGCGCGATCGACGCTTACCTCACGACCGCCGGGCGATCTCGCGAGCGCGTGAGCCGATCTACCGGTTCCGCGTACCCGCGCGTGACTCTAGACGCCGACGAGCGAAATATCCCGATGAAACGCGCGAGACACAGGCCCGATCAGCGTACGATCTCCATTGTCCACATGCCGGAGCGTGCGCCGAAGCTTCCCCCGTTAACCGTTCGGCGAAGCTCGGCGCGCGCGGGCAGCACCGTGTGAACGTGCTCTCGGCTCCGCGTCTCGGTCGCTCCTCGCTTCCTCGCGCCAGCGAACCGTACGTACGTCGCGGGACAGCACGCTCGCGGGCGAGATGTCGGTCGCGCGGTGCGCCCGGTTCCTCCCCGCGCCGAGGATGCTCGCGCCCGGCCGGTATAACCTTTCGCCGCCCGTCGTAAAGTATCCTTCCTCCGCCTACGCTCGCCCGGGGCTCGATTCTGTATCTCGCAGCGCGGTGAAAATACGCCAGCGGCGAGCGTCTTTGTATCCGTTGAAGGGGACAGTCAGAAAGAGGCCGGGGGCTACTTTTAGCGCGTTCGCTGTGGCGCGAGGTACAGAATTGACCACCAGCTCACGAGACCACCAACGCGAGCCGCGCGCGATTCTTCTAACGGGCGCACGTGTTTTCTGTTTCAGAGCGCGACGTTGTTACCGAGCCGAGGAATAACGCGGACGCATGGGGATCTCGGCGGCGGACTGTCGCCAGCGGTCGCCGCGATGCGCCCACCGGTGCCCAGGAACATCCACACGGTGTCGGAGAGCCGCACGTCCGCGGCGGAGAATTTGGAGCCGAAGAGGAGCTTCGTGGAGAGGATGCTGAGAAAAGCCGGTATTCTCGACGTTCAGAAATATGTAATTGACTTTTTTTCCTTTGGACCTGAGCGACAGAGCGTCAAGGCTTGCTGCCTTCGCTCTTCCGTAAAAGTACCCCCGCGCTTCTGCACTCGAGACTCGCCTAGGGTAACAGCCGATTCATTAATTGCAGAGAACAATGGTACTGGGTTACAGGGTGTACGAACATGTGATGGGTCAGGTGGACTATCAATTTTTCTTCAAACGTAAGTTTGCCCCACGGTAAATTCTCTATGTACCGCGGCAGCCGCGATCCTGACGCCTTGCGCACACGTTAAGTATGTTCTTCGTAGATTTTAACATGCCGGACACATTTTTCTCCTGGTTTCTGGTGACGGAGCTTCACGTGTGGATGATAATGGTGCGCTACATGGCAAACGAGAATGAGGGGAAAATTATCAGAAATAACGCCGTAGCGGCGATGTGGGATGACACGAAGGCTAGGGTGGAGCAGCTTGGTGTAAGTGGCCGCACATCTTTCAAACATGAAGCCCCCGTCGGCAAAATGTTGGCAGATTGGCAGCAAATTCGTTGGAAACCCGCGCCAAAATCGTAGCCATCTGCGCCCGCATTTGGCTTTTGTTTCGGCAACGGTCTGTAAAATGTGCACTGTCAACAGATTGTCCGGCAGATTAAGCCGAACAGGTCAAGTTATATGAGCAGATTTTGTTGCATTTCTGCTGACGCGCGGGCAACGTGTCGAATATATCAGTTCCTATATGCAGTCTGCAGTCTTTCTGCCTTGAAAATTTCTAGTGGGCATTCGATGAAATCTGTCGTGGCAGATTTGGCCATCTGGGTGTATACAGCGCTGGCCAAAATTCATATCACCCTTTGATTTTTTTTTAGCATAACTTTGAAAGCGCACGAATGAAAAATTCGAAAATCGTGGTGTATTTTGTCAAATTTTATTACCAATCGTGCACAAGATGCACCTGTATTCCTGTGTCTACCGTAAAACTTAAAGCGCACTCGATGCACTTTGACGAAAGTTATGCTCGGAAGACCTAAAGATGATGTAATTTTGGCCGGTACTGTATATGTACGCGCTATCATAATTTTGTATCGATTTTATCGCTTATTAAATGCAATTATTGCATCATTATTACAGAAAATCAAAGCGAAACTTAAGAACGAACAGATACAGGAAATATCGTATCAATTCAACGCTGCTATGATAGGTTACGACGAAGGCATAAGTTCTGATGATAAAACGTTAGCAGCAGCATTGTGGAGACGATTCTTTCAGCTGGAAGGTAACAATCCGGAACACCTTGAAACTCTCGTCGTTTACGTTAGGAAACAGGTGAGGCTTTCGAGAAAAGTGCACAAACTATATTCTATATTTTATTCGCGTATATCTTATTGACGTAAGATAACTCGCTGCAATTCGTACAGCAGTACTTCCGCAAACCATTTCCATGTTTTATTCACTTTCCAGATTTGCTTGTTTGACAATTTACCAGATCATGAAATTATAAGAAGACCCGTGTTAAAATTAATAGACATAAAAACTTTATGTAAGCAACAAGAATAATAATTAGCGGGTACAAGTAACAGACGATGATTATGTTCTTGTAAATACATGATGAAAAGCGATTGTAAAGAATGTAGTAATAAATTTTGAATGTTACTTGTAAAGAATTTTCTATCTAAAGTAAGAGAGGCGCTTTTCACATTGAACTAATAACGCATTAATAATTAGTTAAAACTACAGCTGGCTAGAAGGTTCAAGGTATTGATTCTTCTCGCATTTGGTTTTGTGATATCCCAGGCTTGCAATTATACGACACATATAGGGTCTCGTGCACATTGTATCGCACTTGTTTCTCAACGGCGGGTCAGCGAGTTTAAAAGATCTCTAAAGTAAGACGCTTTTTTTACATTGGACTAACAACGCATTAAATCTATAGCTGACTAGGCGTGAATTTGAGATACTCATTGTTCTCGCATTTCGTTCTGTGGTCTCCCAGGCTGGCAATTATACGGCACATGTAAGGTCTCATGCACTTTGCATCGCACTCTTTGCTCAGTGATGGTTCGGCGTGTTTGAAGAAGTTCCTGAATCACAATTGTTGAAATAAAATACTTGACGGATGATAATTCGCAAATATCTATACATTACCTATAATAGCGACTTAGCATGTTGATATCGGTCGCTAGTTTAGACAACCAGACTTGTAACGAGTCGTATGATAAGTCAGAAAGACCGTATTCCTCTTTAAACGAGTACGACTTGTACCACGGTGGCAGTTTGTCAGGGTTAGCATTCGCTAAAGTTAAATTATACATCCAATTCTCGAAATCTTTTACTCCCTGTAAATAGAGTTTGCTCGTATAAACGTACGTTGCGTGTACTTCACCGGAATGGTGTGATACTCACGTAATTTTTGCTGTCGACAATGTACAGCTTGTAGTTATTATTCAAATTCTGGTAGGTAGTTGCGCTACCACCGTTCCAACCGACGTTAATCGTATTATTATCATCGACGCCGTAATACAAATGCACTTCATCGTTGTGCGAATGGCCGTTGAATTGCGCTCTGATAATGTGGCTGAATCGTTTGACAACTTTGATATATTCTCTTCTCCACGTGCTCAGACACTCTTTATCACCGGGTGGAATGTGCGCTAATATGTGCACGAATTCTCCATCCTTTTCAGCTTGCAAAAGCGTGTCCGCCATCCATTGCAACTGGCCGTAAGGGTCTTTCGGTTCATACCATAGCCACCTGTAGAAATTAATTTAATGCAGAATCATGTAAAATCAAATTTCCAATTTATATACTTCCTGCATTCAAAAGAAATATATGCTTTATTACCTTTAGCATACAGCCAGAAAGTGGGACTTGGTTTACAAAAGTTCCTTAACCACTCATTCATCCATACTCTCATTCATACTCTCTCTAATCTCTACCCCTAATCTCTTTCCCTTCTTATTTCTTACTTCTAATTTCTTATTTCTACAATGACTAGCTCATCTTTTTTGCCTTTCTTTTTCCTTCCATAATTTACATAATATCTTTCCTTTATCTTCATCTATTACATCGTTATATAATCTTTCCAACTTCTTTTCCATACTATTACCTAAACTCTAAAAACCAGTCTTTCGCATTCAAAAGAAATATACGATAATCTAAAAACAGCGAGATACCAAATGTGTACAAATCGCAATGTGTGATGGCAGAAAAGATAATTCGTAATATTTACTCAACATCACAGATTGATAACATTAAGCAGATATCATTAAGATCAAATACATTGCAGATCAATCGCTAAGTTACGATATCGCAATCTAAATAAAATTAATTGTCCGGCATCTCGCACAATCAACAACTGATAAGCTGTACTTACCAGTTGAAACAGTAGCATACGTTACTGTTCAGGGCAATAATTCTAAATCCTTTGCTAGGCGTAACCGTGTAATATCCGCCCTGTAGAATGGTAGAACGTGTTGACTCAGGCAACCATCCTAAATGGATCCATAAATCAGCCATCATTTTAAACAGCCATGCCGTGCTCAACTCACTGTTGGTAATACTTGTGGGTGCAAATCTAGAACAAGTACGCTGTATTAATCCCAAAATGCGGGAGCAAGTAGATACTAGTTGAACGAAGTGTATATATGAAAATTGGATAGCTCACTGATTTAAGGGGTGCGGCTCGTGATTACCCAGAAGTGGATACACAGGAACATAATTTTTGAATGTTTCGTGAATTTGGAGATAGCTCTTGTACAAGCTTTTGGCATTTCCCTCAACAGTAGTTTCCCAAACGCCGTGGTCCACTATGTCGCCAGTGAAATACACGTAGGAAATATTCTGCAAATTAATATTACATAAAGTAATGTACAGTTTCGAGGAATCAT